AGCATGTAGAGATGAATATCGGGATGGTATTAGGAAACAAAGGGTATACTATTTTGTATCCAATATCTATCTTTCATTTTACTCTAATGCTGATATCTGTTAGTTTACCATTATTTATTTCCCAAAATGTATATTGGGTAAATAACAGGTTAATAAAGATATATCCTGTTATTTAACCATTATTCATATATTTGACCTGTGAAACTACCGTATTAATAGTTATACAAAGTATTGTATTATATTTTATAGTGTGATGCTCTAGCCTAATAAAAACTCATCAGGTTTTTCTATCTAATGCAATCTGCTATAACAACTGTTTACTTTCCTCAGGATCCTTAATTTACTAAAGATTTTGTATCAGATATTAATACCCTCTTGGTTATTAGTTGGCTATTGTATACCATGTCAAAAATGTTTATTTACTTTGTTAGATCTTAATCAGCAAGGACTATGCTGGTTTGTTACTCTAGAATATTTATTCTTCAATTATGTTTTCTCTTTCTTTTGCTGTTTTGAGATTTTTCTTCCTTTTCTTCATAGCCTTTTTTTTGTCTTTCTTCTTCCTAATATAAGTAGTTTTTGTAGATTTATATTCTCTTTCTCTAGATCTCTGGTTTTTCTTTTCTTTGGCTCTTTTTTTTCTCTTTTTTGGTCTTTGGTAATATTGTTTTTCTTCTCTCACTCTGCTACTAGCTCGCATCAGAAGCTCTATATATACTTGAAGAACTGGTATCAAAAGTGGTGCAGAAAGTTTTGTATAAACTTGCTAGCCTTCTTTAGCTCATATAGAACTGTTCTGATATTTTCAAATCTTTGTTTTGTTATGAGGCCTCTAGTTAGCTTTTTTCTTGCTATATATTTCTCTTGAAATACAGTTTCTAGTGATAGAGGTGAAAGAGGCTAAAAGTATATTCGCCTCTCCTCATTTTGCTGCAGTATATCGACACCAGATCTCATATATCGAGTTAATGTAAAGCCAGATTTTGGCTAGAGAGACTTAAGAGTATGGTGTGTTCAGAATTTGGAAGACTTCTTCCAAGGTTGATGGGGTTTTTTTGCTAGTAATATTTAGAAAGCTATAAGTCTCCTTCCAGATCAAGGAGCTAACCTGGCATTCAATCGCAAAGTGCTCAGGTGTTTGAAGATCATTCAGGCACCAAATACAATTGCCTGACTTAGAAGGGCCTATATGTTTGAGCCGATAACCTAGAAGTAAAGCTTTGTGGAATAGATACCAAAATATGTCTCTTTTTTTATTATTTATAGGTTTAAGTAAAAGCCAAAGAGGTAGGGGTACTTGAGAAGAGATTCAAAGAGAGATAGGGGGTGTGGATGTTTTTTGCAAAAGTTCTAAAACTTTCTTTGTTGTTATATCAGATCTTTGAGTAACTGCCATTTTAATTTCTTCTAACTTCTAGGGCCAATTTGTGGTAAAAGAGATTTTCCCTTTATTTCTATACCAGGCCAAAAGATAGAGCTTCCATTCCGAAGGTCAGGCTTTAGTACAGGTTTGTCCAAGCTTAGTGCTTGTAGGGGAGAGATATTTCTCTTGTGTCTAAGAGTTAAACTGATTTTTGTTCTTTTATGTATAGCCCATAGCAAGCTTGAGGTCAGAAGTTTTAGCCATACAGAGATTAATCAAGCATCAAGCATGTCTTTAATAATTGGTGTCTGCAATATATTACACCTAGATGAATTATATTCAGAGTTTAATATTTTTGTAAAATCTTCAAAGTACAGATTATCAAAGGCTGAAAATGAAATGCCCAAACTCACAACCTATCTAATTAGTGATTGGTTGGCTCTTGCTTCTTTAGCCTTATCAATAGTTTTAATTGTATTATAATAGATATCTATAGACAATAATGATGGATAGAATTTTTTTTTTTTTAAAGCAGTAGATTTAAACAATTCAGATTCTTCTACACTCTAAAAATCTCTAAGTACTTTAATTTGAATCTCCCTTGAAACTTTCCCTTTACACTTCATTGCAAGATAAGTTTTCATATCATAAGCTCTTTCTCTAATCTATATTGTAGGACAATATCTGCATTTTGCCTCTTTATGATTTTCTTTTCTATTATTAATTATATCATATTTATCCTAAATATCTGCTAGTGGCTGTCCTCTATTATTTGATGCATTGCATGAAAATTGCATCATTGCAATAGAATTAGTTTTACTAGCCATTAAAGGATTATTTTTATTTATAGAACTACTCACATCTTTAGTTTGTTTTATTATATATAGAATAAAATAAAAAAAAAATACTGAAAAAGTGGGTTGTTTTATTTTTTGGAGGTTATTTAATTAAAAAAAAAGAGCTGCGAGTTAAACTAATTTCAAAGATTTTATTTTTTATTTTTCGTTTTTTTAAAGAAAAGCAATCTGTATATTTACTAGTTCTATTTTTATTTAAAAAAAGCTGAAATAACTACCAGTGTTAAATAATGATAACAATAACAATATTGTTATTAATATTGTTATTATAAATGGTCATATTCAAGACCCTTGTCTTTATATTTTAGCGATTTTAAAATTTGATTTAGTATATAGCTGAGACTTATATCAGTAAGAGAAAATTTTTAAAAGTATATTCATTTTGCATTTGAAAAAAAAATTTTTTTAATTAATATAGATCCCTGGCACTTAGCTTTATTCAGATAAATATGATATTACATCAATTTTCATGAGGATACAACTAGCCACATGTGTACTTTTG